GGAGAGGAGAGGAGAGGAGAGGAGAGGAGAAAAACCAATGAACCAGAAATAAGGAGGAAAGGACCTGAGGAGTTTGCTGGTGAGCAGTGCTTTCCTATTCAGTCACCAGGTGATATTCAGGCCATTAAGCACTCCTTCCAGTAACTCATGGCAGAACCTATGAACCAGCTGTGGCATTAACCTTGAGTGGATTTAGTGTATCTCCCCAGTGCTAGCACACAGTACAACTCTGCTATGCTGTTGTAGCTGATAGTGGAGGTGTCATAGCCTTTCTCACACAGATGATGTTATCTGCTTCCTGCCCATGGCTTTCCCTTTGATATGTCAAGGACATCCTATTACAAAAGTCCTTTATTCCCAGTTTTTCTCTGTGTATGCAGTGAGTACAGCTAGACCAGAAAGCATCTGTGAGAAGAAAAGAAAAAAAGAAAGAAGGGGCAACGTTCTGTTTCTAGAGATGGTTAACATCTGCCCTAGGCCTGCTGCCTTCTACAGCAACCCTGGGCTTGCACCAAATTTGCCATTTCCTAGCCATTCCAATGGGCTGATGGCCAGACAACCATCCCATTTTTTTCTGAATAGGTCTTTTCTTTTCTCATTCTCTGATATTCTAGACCTAGTTCTACTCAGGGAGAGAGAAAACAAGTCACAGAAAAAAGTGGGTCCTATACAATCCCCAAAGAATTTGCTGATGAGAGATCCAGCTGTTGTGTGTTGCTGGAATGGTTCAGAGGTTTGTGGCTCAGAGGTTCTCCCATGACTTTGGGACTACAAAAGGGGCAGGTTCCCAGAAATTAACAGTTGCTTCCAATCATGATTTTTTTTTTGGTCATCTGGTCTTATTAACCGATTTTCTGATACCATATTTCATAGGGTCTGCCAAGTTCTGCCAAGTTTCTAAAGACCAAAGGAAAATTCTGCCAGACGTTTGACTCCATCTATCAATTATCCCTTAAGTAAAAAGCAGGTTAGTAGTTGAGGAAAAGGGGACAGCTGCAGTGGTAGTGTTCCCAGGACTTCATGTGTGAGGTTTCAGTATCAGTTTCTTGGGCTGGGACAAAGGTTTCTGAAACGAATGCTGATGTTTTGCTTTGAAAGAAAAAAATGCCATCACTGTCATTATTTGCTGGTTTCTAGAGAGCTGTCACAAAACAGTTGGGCATTAAATTCTGATTGAATACAGGGAAAAGTTCTCAAAAGCAGAGTTGGGGACATTTTCTCTTGAAAGGATTGATATTTTGTTAGTGTGTTGTCTTAAAAAAAGAGCATATATTTAGACTGAGTATTGGGGGGGGGTGTTTGGTTTTTGTTGGCTTGTTTGTTGGGTGGTCTTTTTTTTTCTTTTCTTTTTTTTTTTGTCTGATTGGCAATGAAGCTGACATTTTCCTAAATGAAATATAAGAACCTACTTTGCATGGTGCATGACTTCACCCCTTGACTAACAGGGGATTTGGAGTAGGGATGAAGCAGGAGCAAAGGCATGAATTGAAGCACAACCTGCTTAAGGTATCTCCAATGTCACACCCATGTTCACCCAGTACTTTCCAATGCCTCCCAGTGACAGTATTTACTATGCACAGAAGAGAAACACATCTTCCTCACCTTCAATCTGATCAGGGGTAAATTCAACCTGAAAGACACAAAGAATAATAGCCAGATAAAAAAAGCAAACAGAAAACTGAAGCAAATAGGAGCAGCACTGGTTTAGTCTCTGTCTTATGGTGCTGAGTGTTTCTGAGGTCTATGAAAGAGACTGACTTATAACTCCAAGAAAATAACTTTATAAAGCCTGTAGATTCTTGTGTTTTTTGCCTCCACCTTCCCTATTCACCAGCCCCAACTTGAGGACCTCTACTCTCAACACAAGGCTGCAGTTGCCCTTTTTCCATTCTTTTGCTGCTTCTGTCTTCCTGTGGTAATCTCTTTCCCCTATTCCAAGTGACCCCCCACCACTGATGCCCTCTCCAGAGATAAGGAAAATATCCGGTGGACTTGGAAGGCAGGACTCAACACTAGTCCTGCAATTGTTGAAAATCAGGCCACTATTTTTGTCTCTGCCCTGTTCAGTCCTTATCTGAACTAGCTCATTCAGGGGATTACCACTTTGTTTGCAGTTCTTAGTCATAATTTACCTTGAATGAAATCCAATTAATAAAACAGTTCCCTAAGTGGCAGCCAGGAGGCTGTCTGGAAGGAAGCATTTAAAGGATGCAAGAAAGAAGCCCCCAAAAGAAAAACAATGTTCTTCCATTTCCTAACACATGGAGGGGTCCAAACACATCTTTGTCATGAGGATTGTAATCATCTAGATTGGGTTCTATCCCAAATCTACGTATCTTAGTTTAATTAGAAATAAATACTCATCAGGGAACACATTTATACAGGTGCATTGTCAGCAGCAGCCTTATGCCCAGTGTGTCTAATTATATCAAGCTTTGAGAATCTGACTGAAGTTAATTGCATATTGAGTTTATTCAGGCATCAATAGCCAGTGTGGGTGAAGTAAGGCCAGAGCTGCTGGCAACTTGGATTTAAATCACTATGATGGATTACTCCTGGGGAAGAATTCATCTCAGCTACATGTAGATGTAGACATTCAGATACATCAGTGACCCCATATTTTCTTTATACCAGTACAAGGGAATGGGCACTTTTAGGGTGTCATTTGACTTGATTTAGGTCTATACTTGGGGAGAAGATGAGTTATATTCTCTTTTTCACTGACCCGGACAATCAGTTCTTCAATGAACATATGAATATGCAGATGTAGACATCCTTTTCTGAACTAATGAGTCCCACCCAGAAAGTATGAACTAGCTCTTGGGCAGAATGCAGGTCAGGAGAAACTGTGCCAGAGTGAAGAAGGATGACTGCAAATTCCCACGGCTGCATCAAAGGGAAGATTTGGGCTGAAGGGCTGAGTGTGCCTCACCTCTAATCATGGTCCTTATAAAAACACCACCCAGAGCTGGAGGACCACGCATGACAGCTGGCAAGGCAGTGGCAGACGGTTTGACCAGACCTACCACCCAGGCACAGCTTCCTCTCAGGAAACCTGCAGAAATGTGTGGGTGGTGGCTGCTGCTATTTTGTCTCCTCTCAGCACATACCACCATGGAGTTGTAAGGAAAGGCGAGTCATCACTTACCCGGCCACAAGGTATCATTGCAGAGGGATGGAACGAGCTCTGGGCTATGTTTAGACTGAAGATGGTTGAGGTTTTGTTTTCCCTCCCCTCTCCCTCAGAATGGCGTGGAGCACACAAACCCAAAGCCATCTCTATACCAAAAGCAAGAGTTGGAGCTGTGCATGAGGACTGCCCCAGAGATCCCAGGCCGGAGCATTCCAGATGAAAGGCTGTACAAACGGGGTCAGGCTAAGGCAAGCAGTGAGCAAATGACTCCCAGTCCATTGCAGCCACAAAGAATGACCCGTATCTGTGCTTTGAGGCAGTTCTTCATCTGCTGCTCCAATGCAACAGGCATCTAAGGGAGTGAAAGTCCCCAGTGGTATCTCTGAGCTCAGACCCTCTCCTGTCCCCAGGCACTGACACCACTGCCCACCAGCATCACCCCACATGCACAGAACTTGGTCACCAGAGAAGCCCTTGTCACCAAAAGCTGGAAGCTGCAAAATCTACTCACAGACTTAATATTAATTTGCCTTCTAGATATGGTTTTATGTCCTCCAGCTCCTTAGAAGTAGACTATGATGGTTCTCCTTGGAATTTTGTTTGTTTGTTTCTTTTAAATACACTGGCACTGCAGAAGAATTGAGTTTCCCCTGTCATGTTTTGTAGGCAACTGACGTTTTAAAACAAGGACATTCCGATGAATGCCAAGCATCTGCAGCACCAAGACTCACAGTGATGTTATTTGGTACAGATCCATAAGAGAGACAGAACTTCTGACTGGTAATCTCTTTCCACTTGTCTCCTGCCTTGATATATGGACTCTCCTACGTGTTCTTTGAAGACACCAGATATCTAAATTCAAATCTTTCCGTAACAAATAGGGTGTGTTACGCCAGCTTTCCTGCTGTTTTAGCAATCTTGGCTCCAGGACATTGTCACCTGGTCACTGGTGGCATCAGCTGTAGCACTAATGCTAATGTTCTCTTTGTCTAAACAGTGACATTCGGCTGATTTTGTCCCAGAGACACCTGGAGGGATGCCTGCACCCCTTGGTGCTGTTAACATCATTGACAGCTTCATATTGTAGGGGTTTTTTTTATAAACCCATAGCATGTCAGTCAAGGACGTAACTCTCTGCACGCTCAGTCAGACAGGACTAAGTCTGAAGTAAGTCCTATTAACAAAACCGTTGGTAACTAGCAATCAACAGGTTATCTGGGGGGAAGCATTTAGACAATGCAAGCAAGGAGCACCCTCCAGAAAAGAAACAATATTCTTGTTTCATAGTACACCAAGGAATCCTAATACAAACAGCAAGGTTTTCACTTAGCCAGGTCAGGGGTCGTTTTGGAGAAGGTAGAGGGGGATGGGGTTTATTGTGCTCTTGGGAGATTGATTTAGGAGGCAGAAATGCAGCAGATAGAAAGAGGCCCAGAAGGCCATCAAGATCAGTACTGTGTTGAGGTTACATTTGTATTTCAAACATGATGGTTTTTTCCACTAAGATATTTTTAAACCTATTAATACACATCATCCACAAAATCCCTTCTCCTATCACTTTCTCTGCAGGGCAATTATAGAATCATAGACTTATAGAATCTTTAGGTTGGAAAAAGACCTTTAAGATCATCAAGTCCAATGATTAACCTAACACTGCTAACACTACCACTAAACTATGTCCCTGAGCACCTTGTCCACGTCCAAAATACCTCCAGGGATGGTGACTCTACCACCTCCCTGGGCAGCCCCTTCCAATGCCTGACAGCCCTGCTAGTG